ATTATTATTATTATTATTATTATTATTATTATTATTATTATTATTAGACCTTCTATACATGAATTATATCGAGTCTAATTAGCAATTTGTCTAACTCCTTATTTTTTAGAGGATGATTTTTTAACATTTTGATGTAGCAATAATCCAATTATTAATTATTTGAATGATTCAAACCTAAATATTATATCTCTATTAGATATTAATGATATTAAATGGTTTTTTAAAGTGATAATTAATTTTGAACTAATTGATCTTTTCGTACAAATAGAAGATTTTCTAAAATGGAGTTGGACAATTTGCTTATTAGAACGCCGATATTTCATTTAACTTGTAAGTATAAATTAATTAATAAATATTATTTGTTTTATAGAACTGCCAAGTGGTGATTAGAGAGCCATACAGAGATGGAAGAGACAATACTTGGACTGGTACAGGCTTTATGAAGGCACTGGAAGGTTCAACGATGAACTTCACTATCGACGATATCAGAAAATCAATGTGGTATGACATTATCGTTCGTTATGAACCAATTCATCAAGGTGTATGGCAGGGCGTGGAAATACTTGTTGAGCGTGATGGTCCTCCGGATCCATATGGTCCCTGCGCTAACTGGAGGCAAGAAGATGACAGACTCTGGGTTGATTTGCATGATAATACACGCTGGAAGGAAGCAAATTCTGCTGTTTGTCTTGAAGCTGGAAAAATTTATAAAATATTATTAAGCTTCCGGAGATTCGACCCTCAAGGCGATCCCATTCCTGGAGCAGCAATTCTTATTGATTCGGTTAATTTTTAACTTTATTTTTGAATAAAAACAATTGTTGGTAATTAAATTGATAACAATAATAATAATAACATTTTTTTTTTGTTTTAGATCGTTTTAAAACCCAAAATTGATGAAATACCTTTCTTCAGTGGTACAAGCCTCGGTGAATTGCGTAAGCAGGAGTACGAACGGTATCGTTGTAATGAAAGATTTAATGACGTCAATGCTGGTAGTCATGATGAAAAAAATGATATTTGTACCAAGTATCACAATAGTATTGGCTTCTGGGTCTTTGACGGTGCTCATGGTAATTATTTTGACTAAAAATAATTATTTAAAAATTTTCAGTAAATGCACGTAAAATTAACTTGTAATAAAAGTTTATATAACTTTACCTGATGCGAATACATTTTTCTAGCTTGTGAATGTAATCCGACGGGATCACACAGTTTACTGTGTCAAAACTATGGTGGAGTGTGTCCTTGTAAAACAAATGTAGTAGGCAGACGTTGTGACCGTTGTGCACCAGGAACTTACGGGTTCGGACCAAATGGCTGCACGGCCTGTGACTGTGACGCAGTCGGAGCACTGGACAACTTCTGTGACGTTGATACTGGACGGTGTAAATGTCGACCGAATACTTACGGCAAAACTTGTGGTCAATGTGATCCAGGATTCTGGAACTTCCCTCACTGTCAGCGCTGTGAATGCAATGGACATGCAGATAATTGTGACTCACGCACGGGCGCTTGTATCAATTGTCGTGATTATACAACAGGTCACACTTGCGATCGCTGTATTGAAACTTTCTACGGAGATCCACGTATTGGCGTCGACATCCCTTGTCGGGCTTGTCCTTGTCCTGGTAAGTTTACAAATTAATTAATTATTAATAACAGTAAAATTAATATTTAATTCTTAAAACAGGTACCATTGACTCCGGTCATTCATACGCAGAAAGTTGTTCTCTGGACCCAGTAACCCACGACGTAATATGCGAATGCTTTGAAGGTTACGTGGGAGCCCGTTGTGAAAGTTGTGCTGAAAATTACTTCGGCGACCCAGAAGAACCAACTGGCAGTTGTACCGCTTGTAACTGTAGTAACAATGTTGATCTTTCACGACCAGGAAACTGTGATCCGCACACGGGACGTTGTCTTCAGTGTCTTTATGATACTGATGGACCCAATTGCCAGTTCTGTAAGCCTGGATTTTACGGAAATGCACTCGAAAAAGATTGTAGAGACTGTATGTGTGATGTATTGGGCACTACTCAGATGACTCGCGTTAAGTTTAGTATCAAATAAAAACTTTTTTCAATTAAAATTTTCAAACTTATCTTATCATTAATTCATTTTGGATAAATTTTATTCTTAAAAATTTCACTTTAATTCTCAATAATTGATTAATTGTGCAGCATTCAAAAATTTATCAAAAGTATTAAATATTTACACAAAGATATTTTCTGAAGTTTAATATCAAATAAAAAAAATTTTTTTCAATAAAACTTATAAACTTCAATTATTCATTTTCAACAAATTATAGTTTTTTAAAATTTCCGCCAATTTTAACATTTCGGCAAATGCTGCCTCTAGCGTATAAATGAAAGACTACTATTTCAAAATGGCGTTGCCGCGTACGTGAGTGAAACACTTGTGTGTTTATATATATAAATAAACAAAAAAAAAAAAACCGCACCCACATTGCATGTACTAGTACTAGTACTAGTACATGCTTGATAGTGATTACTGAAAACAAAGTACCTTAAAAATCTCTCATCTCAATAAAACTCGAAATAATGAAAACGGAGAAACTGAGGACATCAAAGGATCACCCATGCGTTTGACATCTACCAAACAACTTGGCATCATGATATCTGGTCTGGTTCTCTGACATCACATTACCTACCACTGAGTCACATCCATTGTTCATCTGTTAAGAATGTCCAGTGACCGTACCTACGATATTTAATTGAAGTGACTCGTTTATTTTTTTTTTTTTTTTCATTCATTTATTTAATTTACTTACATTATTTTATTTTCTCAACAATTCAACATGCTTAAATATTTGTTAATTATTGGCCTATGTCAATGTTTTATCAACCTAACGTTTGCGGAAGACTATATCGGCTGCTTCAAGAGTCCTCCGGAGTCAGAAGAACCTCTTCTGGTAATAACAAATCCACGAGCTCCAGTATTTTGTATGAAAGAATGCCTCAGTCGTTATTACATGTAAGTTTTATAAAATAATTTTTTTCTTTATTTAAAAAGTGTCATTTAAAATAATAATTTAATTATCTAGGTATGCCGGGTTAATGAAAGGTCAACAATGCTACTGTATGAGTACTTACGGACGTAATGGACCATCAAATGGCTGCACCACACGTTGCATCGACGATGAAAAATCACTATGCGGATCACACGATTCTATAAGTGTTTACAGCACTGGGCAAAAAGTCTCAAGCCCACCACGAAGGCTCAGGGTGATAAACAACAAGTCAGAGTCACTTAATATCACATGGCAACCACCAGACATCTCCAATGGTAACATAACATCTTACATTGTCCGTGCAGTGGCACTTGAAACTCATGCATTTTATCCACTTCAGCCTGTGCAATTACAAGTGCAAGGTGAATCATCTGACAGTACTCTCCTAACTAATTTGCAGCCTGGTACCAAGTACAATATCTCTGTAACAGCTGTCAATACTAACGGTGAGAGCCACCCAAGTTATACTATTGACTGGACATTAATTGGTCCACCAGAAAAACCGGACAAGCCGAAAATAATTGAACAAAGCAGTTCTACGGTCGTTGTTGAATTGACTGAAGGTAAAAGTCAGAACGGGCCGTTAAGTTCCTATCAAGTTATTATTATTCATCCTGGAACTATCCCGCCGAAACAATCAGACATTACTTATCCGGATTATCATACAGCTATCAAAAATGACTTGCCGTTTTATATCACCGGTGAATTTAATGCCAACGAGTATTATAAGTATAAGCGATTTATTATCGGGGATGGTCAGAAAATAGGCGGTTATTACAACGCGCCGCTGCAGGAACCTTTTAATAGACCACAAGTTGGATTGGTGTTGGTATCTCGGATAGGAAACGAAATAAAATACAGTCATTCTGATTTTGCAGGTCATTCGTTTGAATCAAGTGCAGGTCCCGATGGTTTAGCTGTCGGACTTTATATTGCTATTGCTTTATTTAGCATCTTATTAATAGCTGCTGTCTCTGGCTATTTTATTTTGAGAAAGCGACATGAACAAATACGCATGACTAAGTTACCTGAGCAACAAGAGCTTACACTGCAGGGTCCAATGTACGAAGTTGACAACATGGCTTACATTCCAGAAGAAGTTCCAGAACGTCCCAATCATTATCAAGATTTAAAGTCTAAAGTGTGGAATATTCCTAAAAATTTTTTGACCGTTGAACCGCCCGTTATAAGACGCGGTAGGTTTGGTAACATTCATATGGGAACTGTTCAAGATAAAGATGGCAACTCATCACGAGTTTTGATTCACTCGATAGATGATAAAAATTTACGCGCTTCTGAGAAGCGTCACATGCTAAGAGATCTTGATGTCTGTATCAAAGCAGGCAAAATGAATTACCTAGCAAGTTTTATTGGTAATTGCGAAACACCTGAAATACTCTATGTTGTTCAAGAAACGCCGACACATAATTTGAAACTGAGATTAATCGCTGCCCGATCTGGTGATGTTTTTCCGTATGAGTTTATCCTTACAATTGGATCATCAATTGCTATGGGACTAAATTATCTTGAATCTCATAAAATAATTCATTCGCACTTGTGTGCGAGAAGTATTGGCCTTACTGATGATTTTGTACCCAAAATAATGGGATTCGGTATTGGTAAACACGCTTTAGATGATTTGAAATTAGCTCGCTGGACTGCGCCTGAAAGATTTGGTCATAAAAAACACAATCCGGCTGTCGTTTGGACTTTTGCAGTAATTATTTGGGAGATGATGAGCATGGGTGGTACTCCATATCACGATTTAGAAGATGAGTGCGACGTCGAGGAAGCAGTTGTTGAGAAAAATGTCCGATTGCCGCAGCTACGAGATATGACTGATCCGATTTACGAAGTTTTAATATCTTGTTGGCATGATAATGCCGATGAACGTCCGACTTTTGATGAACTTAGTCGATTGGTAAGTGTTTATAATTGATGATACTAAAGTTAGAGAAAATTGAAATTTTTTTTTATTACTTTTCTATGAAATACATTAAAAGTTGTTGATAAAAAAAAATTGTAAGATACTTGCTAAGTTTTGTATCAACAATTATGATCGAAAAATTTTATTAATAATAATAATTAATAAAATTAAAAATTATTTTTCAGAATACATTGAGCGTTGTCCCTGTCACTGTCATCACAGAGCCTTACATTCCAGAACTGGAATTGAATAACTAAATAAATCCAATTCTTTCCATTTATACTTAAGGTTTATAAACAAAAGAACAATTTTGCATTTACATATATATTATTATATATTACACAACTCGTTTTTAAAAGGTCATGAACCTTGATATCATGTATAGTTACCGTACACAAAAGCTATTGATGCAATCTTTATTATTTTTATAAACGCGTATATATTTATATACATATTTTTCAGCTACTTACAATTCGTACATACATAAGGCTCAACTTTTCCGTCCAGAAATTACTTAATTTTTTTTTTTAATACAAGTTTTATATATTTTTTATTTTTATTTAATGATATTCTACATAGATCTTATTTTATTTTATACATTTTAATATTGTTTTTATTCAATAATTAATTGAAATTTGGTTAATTCCATGAAGATACTTTCTATAATCTTCACAAAGGTTCATTATTTAAATTTATTAGGCATTCACCAAAGTACAAATAAAATTGTAGTAATACTGATATATTTGATAAAGATATATCGCGATGCCTAAAAAACCAAATTAATTTAAGCATTAATATGTTTTAGGGATTTTTTTCAATTAATTTTGATATTAATGAACAAATACTTTTGATTAAATTAATATCTTTATTTGAGTAATACATAAATATCACATAAATTTATATTGTTATAATTTAAATTGTTAGTATTTAAGTATAAAATAATTACTTAGAAAACTTAAAATTAAAGATCTTATGGCATAAGTGATATATATATATTTTTTTTTTATTTATAAAAAATTTTATACAGTCGAGTAAAAAAAATAGTAATTAGTATGAGTACATTCAGTGCTTAAACATTAATGTAAATCAAACAAAACGTTGGTAAAAAAAAAAAATTATTCCGATTAATCGGAACCACGTTATTTAAGAAAAATATCATGTACTTTTTTACAAATTGTAAATCACCATTGTTATTAAAAGTGACTTAGAATCACTAACTAGTTATTAAAAATAAAAAAAAATTATAAAAATATTAAAATATTGAGTATTCTTTGTAACATAGTAACTAATTCAAGTGATTTGATGAGATGAAATTTTGCTCGAATGCGAGCCTGTGGGCTTAACGGGTACAGTACTTTTACTGCTGGTAATCGGACACAGTACCTGTCTGTAAGCTTCTCTGTAGAGCTTATTAGTTCCCGCATAAATAAAAGGATTGATAACTGAAGATGCCCATGCGAGTATAGAAGCAACCACATGTAAAATCGGTATTTTAACCCTGTCGTCAACGACGTTGACCAGCATAAGTGGCAAAAAACAGAGCAAAAAACATAAAAATATGGTAAGCATAAGTTTTGTGACTCTTGAATCTTCACGTCTTTGAAATCCAGTATTACGTCTCATGCCGCCGTTAACCATATGTGCTTCTAAATTTTTACGACTTTGTCTAACTTTCCAATAGATGCAGAGGTAAGATACAATAATCACAACGCATGGAATTACGAACCCTATAACAAAGAGCATTTTTTTAGGACTCTTGCCATTTTTTTGGAGTATCGTGCATGAAAATGTCTTGGAGTTGAGGCCGAGTCTTCCCCAAATGCCAGTCAACGGCGGCAGAAGCAGCGAAAAACTCACTACCCATATCGCTATCAACATTATTGTTATCCCACGATTTGTGTAAAGCCGCGCATAAATATCAGATTTTGATATCAATACGTATCTGTAAATATAAATTAAAAGGTATAAATGATTAATTAATAAAATATAATTCCAATGATTCTATAATTATAACTAATTAAAATTGTTTTTAAATTTCTTAGGATCGCAGATTTATTCTCGACTTTATTAATTGCTTTCATATGTGCGTGACCCTCGCTATAAAAAGCAATACGAAAAGAGAACTGATGACTCATTAAAAACTATGCAGAGTTTGTGTCTTCAAGCTTATTCATTAGTAATTAATTATTCAAATTGAAGAATAAATGTCTATGTTATTGATAAATTTATTATTAAAAATTATTAATAGTTTACAAACCTGTTGACAGTGATAGCCACCATACTAAGCAAAGATACAGCAACATTGCCATAAAAAAACAGCGGAAATATTTGACAAAGTGTTTCACCAAGTACCCATGCTTCATTTAAATATCTGCTAGCCGTAAGCGGTAAGTTCACAGCAGAAAATATTAAATCTGATATGCTTAAACTTATGACGAATGCTGTTGTTGCATGTCTTCGTAATCGTGTGTACTTCATTAATGCAATTATTGTTACTAAATTACCTAAAACGATAAATTATTTTTTTATTAATTAAAAAATCAATAATATATTTTATTTAATTACTTAAAACTACAAGTCATGTCTTTAATAATTATTAAAGTCAAATATTTTATTTTCCCGTAAAAAAAAAATTCCAATGATTCAACATCACGTCTTTTGTGTTTTAATTCCTTAAATTATTTTTTACACTAATATATTTTTAATTAAATTTGTAGTTATCATTTAAAATGATAATTACTAATTAAAACTAATGAAAGAGAAAGTTGAGATTTTAACATTAAATATGATTCATCTAACAAAACCCATAAAGAATAATTGTCTGTTTTTTTTTCCTCGTACATTAATATATATATATCATTGTCTATCTTAATTGACGTAATTCTGATGGCTCAGAGTTAAAAGGTGACGAACGTGACGTAGAAAAAAATTTTAATTTAAACTCCAACCCTACTGTAACAGTTGTTGAAATTAAATTACAGTTATTAAGTAATCTTTTTTTTTTTTTTTCCTAGCTATTTTAGAAGTCATATAATAATGACCTTAATAACCGTATCATTATGACTTGCCGACTGTAATTACCATTAACAAAAAAGAACAAACATGAAATTTAATCTCCCGAGACACGGAGACCAGACAATCGTTTGAAATGTGATATTTTTATTAGTATTTATACTTAATAACAAAATGTTTATTTACTACGTACTAAACAGATAATATTAACTTAAAGGAATTATCTATTGTATTGAATATTGAATGTTAGTCATACCGAGAACGCCAACGATGCTAAAAAGTATCGCACAAACAGCAGCAGTGAGTGTCACGGCTCGTGGATAAGCTTGTTGATAGCCATGATCGTGATCCTGGATCACTCTGAAGTCGGTAGTCACGTTCATCTTGATAATCCTTGTATTTTTTACCGATCTCGGTTTTAAAATCACTTCCGCTGGAATGATTTTTATTCGGAATCTTCACAGCGGCATTAATATAAAGTTTGCATCTAAGCTAAAACTCGAGAACACGTGTTGTAGTTAAATCACTTGAACAAACTCCCGCACATTTACGTTCATCTGTTTATTTATTTATTTTTTGAGTCTCCGGTCTTTTTAAATTAACTCGCGTCAATCATTTGCATTAATTTCTGTCTAACTACAATCTACTAAATTCAAAAATAAATTTAATAAACAATTAATTGAATACTATAAACCAAACAAATAAATTTAAATTTAAATATAATTCTATAAAGCGCGATTAAAATAATTCGTACGTGCTTCCAAAGTCAATCAAATATATTTTAAAAATACTTATTGACGCACTTTATAGAGTTTAATCATCCAAATACTTTGTACTAATCGATTGCCGGTGAATTTATTTATAATGCAGTTTTTTTTTTTTTTTAATGCAAAAGTAACCGCGTTTATTGAGATACGAATGCTGGCGCGGAACTGTCGGATTAATAAAACTGGGAATCCCCTTATAAACTAAAAACAGGCTGTGCACGGAATTTAATTGTACGCGGATTTGTGCTTCTGTTTCTTCTTTGCTCTTTGTAATAAAACTTGTTACTTTAACTAGTTATATTAGTATTACTGACGTTCTATTCCCTTACATATTACATTTAGCGATATATAACGCGCGCACTACTAGAGTTCATCCCGGCGTAACCAGCGTCAAGAGCTAAATAAGAATTCCTTATCTTTTCTCCAACACTGTACTCGAATTAGCTTGTGTTATGACTTTCCTTTCCCTTCTCTTGCTTCTTCATCTTCATCATCTCCGTCTTCTTACTTTTTCAAATCCCCATTACTATTATATACCCGCTGTATTTCGTGGTGGTGAGATTGTTTTTTACCGCATTTTTTTTATTGGTCACTTTATCCTGAAAAATAAAAACGGAAAATCAATTAAAAAAAATTAAAAAAAAAAAAAAAAAAACCCCACTTAACCACTTCCGGCTAATATTTTTACTGTGTTAATCATTTTACTTATCATGTTCTATTGTAAAAATTATTCATTATTTTTTATTCTAACACAAGTTATGTAAAAGAATATGAATATTATCAACTACATAAAAATATTTTATTAATAATTAAACCAATGCTTTGAAAATGATCATGATCATAAACACTAAGAGAATCATGACTAACAATAATTAAGAGTTAATATATAAATAAATTTTTTTAGTATTTTATATTGAAACTTTAGCAATTTAATAAAACCTTGAAAAATTAATTGATCAAGATAAATCAAGTATTCTTAAAAATTAACAAAATATCGATATTTTTATCCATTTTCACATCAAAATATTTTATTCTTCAATAAATTTTTTAAAAGTTGAATTATAAAATATTGAGAAAGACATTATGGTTCGATAATTATATTTTTAATAAAATAAAATTAATGATTATTAATAATTAAAATTAAAATTTTTTTAAAAACTAAAATTTCAATAAAAATTTTTATATAAAACATAAAAAAAGTTCATTTTGAGAAAATTATCACAAAAAAAAAAAAAATAAAACACTGATATTTAAAGATTGAATTTTAAAAAACGCATGTTCAGAATTTTTTAAAATTTATACGTGTATTTTTTTCTATAATCTTTTGATTTTAACAATAAATATGAATACCACAATAACAGCTAATTACTTCAATACAAATTTGTAGTTAATAGTTATTTTAATTCTTAAACTCATTAAATACCAAACTAAAATAAAAATAAAAGTAATAATAAATAATGATACTAAAATTAAGAGATATCTGATAATTTTTAGAATTTTCTTAACAAATAAATCATAGCAAGAAAAATTTATCTAAAAATATAATAATTAGCTATAAAAAATTATAAATGCAATTTTAAAAATAATTTTCTAGACCCAGTTCATTTGTCAAGAAAAATAAAAAAATTGTCAATGGTCTATTAATTACAGTGCCACTCATAAATAATATTAGTAATACATGAAAATTAAGTTAGTCGACATTTAAAAGTTTTTAAGATTTTTTTTTTCATTACAAAAATAATTACAAAAAAATAAAAAAAAATTTTCATTTGTAAAAAACTTTAAAAACTGTAAGTGCAATTTTTAAAAAATATTTTTTTATTCTAATTTAATTATTAAAAAAAAAAAATCAAAAAATTAAAAACGTCGGCTAACTTTAGTATCATTAGTAATACTTATTAAAAAACTAAATTTACAAGTAAAAAAACCATAAACACGCAGTACATAAAAATATTCCTAATTACCCACTTAACAAATTATTACAAAATTTTGAGAAATAAAAAAAAAACAATTACCAAGTAATAAATATACAAAATATTAACGTTAATTCCTATAACATATAATAAACAATTAGCAAAACAAAAACAAACAAGTTCTGAAACGTCTGTAAAATAGACGATCTACTTGTTGCTTGACTGGCGCACGAAACTTAACTGAGCTACATAATAACATTGTAAATGCAAGCCCAAACCCGAAATGAAACTAAGCGGTACGTCATTATAAATATCAAGACACTAGAGACCGGAGACCAATGAGAAAATAAAAATGTTGAGTAAAGGTGAGCGGCACATAGTCTCGTTTTGTGATTGGTAAGCCGGGTGGTGGTGCATTAAACTACATAAGTACATATACGCTTTGGCTTATTCAATACAACGGGATACCAGCTGCAAACTTCCCTAAAAATCATCCCTAATTCTTTTGTACTTTCGAAAGACGTCAAACAATCACGTCTCAATGCACTATGTATTATATTCACATTTTCATTACATATTACACATTGCGTGTTGAAACTAGTCTAGTGTTCTCTATATACCTACGCGTTTTTCACCAACACATTTTAGTTTTTGGTTTTAAAGGCAAAGGCACCAAGGAGAGTCTTATAACCCATAACTAAAGGACTTACGTATAATAAAATATTTTTTATCGTTTTACCTTCACGACCCTCCTATTATTCGGAATATGTACGTTAAAAATTCCAATTACTCTTAATTACGTGAGAATTTTTAATCTCTACCAACTACAATCATTAACATAAATCCGATTATAAACTACAGTATAAAACTTATTTAAATTTTAAAACAACGTTTTATTTAAGGAGTTCTTAGTTTTTGTAGGATACACGGAAAAAAGTAAACTGTAATAAATAACAGTAGATTTATAATAAGTAATGATCAATTGGTAAAAATTATCATTTCAAACAGTAAAATTGTGATTTTACTATTCACTTTATAATATTTACCATTTAAACGTTACAATTTACTCTTTACACGGAAGAAAATACTATTTCAAACAGTAATATTCGCTATGTGAATGTCTAAAATGTTAAAGTATAATAATTAAGAATTTAGACTTTGATATTTATCATTTCGTATCTAAAAAATGATATTATGATATGTAAAAAGTATAAAATAAAGTTAGTAAATTTCTAATACAAGCAACGTTAATATTTACAAAGTAAAATGGTAAATTTTAAACGCAACGCTAAAAATCAAACTGTAATTATTGACTTGCTTGGACTGGTAAAATGTACATTTTAAAAGTATAATAATTTTTACTGTTTGAAATGTTAAATTCTCCCAGAGTGAGACCCCCTTCTCTTTCATCTGAGTTCCCCTTCTCATAATATGGCAATTTTTACTGTTTAAAGCTGTAATTTTTTAAGATGAAAGAATCGTTATTTACTCTAGTGACAGTTACTAATCACTTATTTTGGATATTAAATTATAAATTGTGGCTTTTATACTTTTTACATTAATAAGTTCTGTAATATTTATATGTCCGCTTTACTGTTTGAAACTATAAAAATTAACCGGAGTCCGAGTGAATATTACAGTTTATTTTTTTTCATGTACAAAACAAACTTTTTGAGACCTACAATGTTTACAGAAATCATTATCGCTGACAATAGATTCCCTCTGATATTTATTTCTATTTCTTTGGTCTCGTTAATCAGTTATTTCTTTCAAATAAATATTTACTTAGTTGTTGTTCATGATAACATATATTTCAGATAGATACATTGTACTAGTAAATAATTCCACCCATTTGATAGTTACTTTTGTACTAATTATGGCTCGTGTATAATTGATAAAAGTTGATCATTGTTTTTATTAAATGAAATAATAAAAATTACCAAGTATTTTATTAATGGATTTTATCGTTAAAAATGAGATATTAAATATTACTTTGAAACGGGGAATTATTGTAACAATAAAACAATGAAATTATATATTATTTATCTCGACAGTTGATGCACTGCTAAATTTGATAAATAGTATCACCGGACTTGCAATATTGACCACGTATTGTATTTATTTGTAATCAATGATGAACAATGAACTTTAATAGTACGCATGTCCTTCGATAGATAGTTGTAAATATTAATTAATAATAATAATAATAATCATAATTATTTGTTGTACATTCATAAAAAAGCGATAGCAATGTTTAGAGGGTTCATTATAAAAATTAACGTATTTTAGTATATTAATATTTATTACTAAAATATGAATTTGGTTTGTTTATTCATTTTTTTTATACTTATAGTTGATTAGAAAATTTATGTATGATTGTGAAATTAGATGACGGTTAATTTTTTAAAAAATTTCAGTAAGTCTAAATTTAATGATCGTGAAAAAAATTTTTAAAAATTCACAGAAAAAGTTTTCAAAAATTTTATAGTACATTTTGTTACAATAAATATTCAAAGTGCAATACTCTAATGATAAATAAATAATTATTAAGTTTTTTTTTATAATTTAGATAATTTATGATTTTTTTGTACAAAAATAGTTACACCGCCTATTTATTTAAGGGGGGAAATACGTGTACAGGCTTAAAAAAATTCAACTTTTTTTTTTTCTCGTTCAAAAGTTATAAGCGATTTAGTAATTACTTTAATACTATTTTACATTAACTTTTTCTATCACTTTTTTTTCAAACGCGTTTTTCTCGAAACGAGTTTTTTCAAAACTGTGTGCAGCCTAGCTCAAAGAGTTTTAAACCAATCATTTTGCGATATGGCTTATAATTTTCTTTATACAATTACCTTGGATATGAACCTCAATCGAAAGCGATATTTTTATTTAAACTATTTATTTTTTTAATAAACAATGTATGAAAAAGTGGTAAAAAATCACGACTTAATTTCACAGTTCTCTAAAAAATGCAAATTTTTACTTTTTTTTTTTAAATTGAGGTTCATATCGAAGATACACATATAAATGAAGTAATTTTTCTGTGCCATTGATTCCAAAAAAAAAATTGTGGCTTCCATACTGCACACAGACTGCTAAGTCGGATAACAATCTACGATGTGTATCAGTTGATATCTCCGCTATTTGTTAACTTATATTGTTTTTTAATACGAAAAAATACTCATAAATATATATATATATAAAATAACCTGATAGTTTCAATAAATAATATTAATTTTTTATACCTTAAAAAAATTAATGAAAATTAAACTAGAATTAAAAAATATTTCAAAACGTCGATAATACCTCCATGTTAAATTTTTCTTACAAAAATTCCCAGGAAATAGAAGCGATGTATTAACTATAATTTTATAGTTAAGTATCTTCTTTCAGTATAGCGTGTAAACATGAAAAAATATTTACTTATCAATATGTCTCTTGATAATAGTGAATGTAAATTTGTAATGGTAATGAATAGCTTCGAGTTTAGTCATAGGGTCGTAACACGAAGAATTAAAAGGTCGTTCTGAATTAGTTAACGTCAAGTTTAGGACTACTGGTGCATTTCTAATTCATTGTTAGTCTTCTTTGGGTGTAGATGTGTTGGTATAGTCAAGTAGATATAATAGACAAGCAAAGATGCTTGAGAACTAACGAGAACCACCAAGAACTGAATGAACTCATTGTATTTACCCTTCGTTCCTTCGTACATATCGCTACTCTATTTGAATTCAACAGAGAGTCATTCATAAGCATTCAAGCTTAAACTCCCTGTACTGTTCTTCATCTCTTTACTGTTTTTACTTCTTTATTTACTACTGTACCAGTGTATATAGATGTGTATATTGTACATGTATGCTCGTGTGTTTTTATTATGGTATCTGCTGAGACAAAGTCGTTAAAAGTTAATATAATGATCCGAGTCCCAGGATAAGGAGGATTACAATTTAATATTTCATTTTTTATAATAGGAGTAATGTAATCACAGTGAAAGCTTGAACTGCATTCTTTGTTTTAGTTTTATTATGCGGAAATCTGTTGTGTATGTCATTCATGTTTTTTAATAGAAGGGGACTTTTTTTGTAATTGCGTAGGAGTTGTATGGAAATTATTTACTTTTTTTTTTTTAGTCGATCATAATATTGAAAAATCAGGTTGCATAATGGAATGAATTAATGATAATTATTATTGAATAAACCTGAAAATATGTAGATTGAAAATCCCGTATCCATTTTTCCATAATAAAGAAAATAAAATTTTTAATTAAGCAATGACTAATTTTATAATACTGAATTAAAGAAAAAAAAAAGGACTTTAGATTGATTAACTAAAATTGTTGGTACAATATTAACGGTTCTTTAAAAAAAGATATTATATTTTACAGGAGAGGCCAAAATGTTTTTTTTTTAAATTCAATCTTAAAACACAGTTGAGGATGAGCAAAATGTGAATAGATATTGTTATTCATGATAGTGATAAAACTTCCTTTTGTGAACCCGGAAAAATAATTTAGATCGACATCAGAGATAGATATAAATCCCTCTACTCTTTCAGCTTGGATTTAAGAAGACGAAGGCTAAAAAGGGCGAGTCATCGGACTATAAATTAAACATTTTTATAGTGAAAGATATTTTTAATAATGAATTTTTAAAAATTTTTTACTGGGGACAAATGTTAGAAATACATCAGTTATGACTAAGTAATTTTGACTTTCGGGTAATTTTAGATTTAAGTGGAAAGAGGATCGAATTATTTGATTTTGAATACTTCCAGTTTTGCTTATCTACACAATAACTGTAAAGTTTTATTTCAATGAAATGGTAAATTATTTATTTAATTTTTTATTTTATTTATCAGCGTATAAATCGTTACAAAATATCAAATATTTTGGTGTTTTCCAGCTATTAAAACTGGTTTACTTTTAATCTTAAAAAATACTTTTCATTTAAAATAAATTTTTTAAGTATGTATATTTTATAAATCATTTTATTTATTTATCAATGTTAAGTCAATTATTTTTTTAATTTATCAAAGCATATAGAAAAATCTCTTTGACTCTATAGAATAAAATATAATATTATTAAAAAAAGATTCTTTAAAACTCGATTATAAAATGTATTTACAGACGCATTAAATTAACGCGTTAAATGCTTGATGAATTGGTTTAGTTTAATAATAATTAAAATAATAAATGACACTGGGTGTATGGCACATGCATCCGTGCTGTGTCGTTAATTAGTCATGAATTTTAAAATTTATAAAATCAATTTTACAATTCTAAGTCGAACATTGCCGATAACTCTGAGCTTTTTGTTCTATTTCAGCCAACTGCTGTACCATTACGGTGTTGAGTGAGTCAACTTCAGCCATCAGATCGCCAAGAAGCCTGTCATTATCTCTATAAACGCTTTCCATACCATCAAGATCTTTGAATTTGGTGGTTGTATCAGCAGTAAGTTCAGAAGCACGTTGCAGCAATTTTTTGGCACGTTGAATGTCGCCTTTGCTCTTGGTAACGCGGTACGTCAATGAATCGCCAGCGTTTTTGTACTCCATTCCAAGTTTTTCTGTCTTCTCCTTAACTAATCTAGCATCTTCAGCTAACTTACGTAGTTCTTTACGTACTTCTTGATTCAAAACAAAATCATTTTTAACAGATTGAGTTTGTAGATGTTTCAATCGCGCTTCAAGTGCTTCAACAGCCGCTGTAGTGTTACCAGCTTTTTGTCTTGCCTCTGCTGTTACTTCAGCTACAGCTTCTAGGTCTTTTTTGGATAATCCAATATCTATTTCAGCTTTTTCTATTGCTGAGGCTGCTTCAAGCTGTGCTTTTTGAGTCTCTCCCAATAATGAAACAACCTAAAAAATAATATTTTAATTAATTTATTGAATACATAAAAAATAGAATAGATATCTAACATTTTTTACTTCAAATCTATACTAATAAATGGAGAGCCGGTTTTTTTGTCCGGTTATACTGCGAAAACTACTGAACTGATCGGAATAATACTTATTATACCATAAGATGCAGCGTGTTTCGGAGAAAGTTTTAGTATATGATATGTTGTTGATTATTTATCCGGAGCCTATATTTTTTTGACTTAGAAATAATGAATTTTTATTGTGACTAAATTTATTCTATTCGATTGTCATTTGTTGAAAATAAATTTTTTAATTCTATTAGTTATGTTTATATACTAGTCAGATTTCTTCACTTATGAGACCTGCAATTTCTTTAACTGAAACTTTCAATGCTCATTACAAATTTTTTTTTTTTTTTTTTTTTTTTTTTTTTCAAATCAATTATTATTCATTTTTGTTATAAAGACACGGGAATGTTATAATGATTGCACATTGAAAGTTACAATTAATATTAGCTAGAATAATTATATGGATAAAAGGTGCATGCCAATTCGATAGAATTGAGAATCTGTGCAAGTCAAAAAAATACTCTAATTAAATTTCAAGTCTATATCTATAAATGTAATTCTATAAAGCGCCTAGCGGAGCGGTTGAGTAATAGCTAGCAAATAAATAACTATTTAATTATTTTGAAAATTTTGGATACTTGAAGTTTTGATTAACATAATTAAATACCTTGCCAGCTTGAGTTTGTTTTTCAATAGCTAATTCTTTAGCACGATTAGCTTGGTCTTCTAAATTCTGGGCCCTTCTCAAATCCGAAGCAGTATCACTCAATATTTTATCAGAATCAGTTAATGATCCCACTATTTTGTCGATATCAGCAGCTAGGCTTTCAATTGCTTCGGGTTTTAAATTCATCTGTTTGTTTAGTACTTCTTCAGCTAAATCTCTAACCATAACTGGAGTCGGCTGATCATCATTCAATATCATCCATATTTTTTCATTTATGTCGGTTAAATTTTTCAACAGTTTATCTGATTTGTTTCTTGCGTCATACGCATAATTAAATGCATCTTGTGCGTTTGATCTGGCTGTCACTGCATCTTGTTTAATATCCATCATCTGTTGAAATAATTGTTTATTCAATTCATTTAAATCATGTAAATCAACGATTAGTAATAATTTATTTAAGTTAAAATAATATGTGAATTATAAAAACATTATCTTACCGTACGCAAAAGTTGTTCTGCAGAATCTTTATGGCTTTTAATTTTGTCAGCTTGTTTCTTAGCAACATCAAGTGCTTGATTAGCTTTGCTAACAGCTCCGGCATCGCAAGAAATACCTCCGCAAGACCCACAACCAGCACCACCACAAACATTGCTACACTCAGTAACATTGTCTCCGCACATCCCAAGATTCAATCCTGGAATATCATTTTCTAAATTAATCAATTTGTCATTTAATCTGGTGACAGACTCCTGACTGCGTCCCTGAGCATCTTCAACAGTAGCACGATTCTTCGCCAAGAGACTTTCAGTATTCTTCCTATATCTCTCGGCATCAGAAAGAACACTAGTGGTCTCATTGGCCATTTTCTCAGCTTGTCTTGACTGCTCAGCCATTTGCTGGGTGACATTCAATGCTCCTTGAACATTAGCTTCCTGTAGTCTCATTGCCTCCTCTTTCAATAAAGCCGCACCCTGATGTAAATTATTCGTGCGGTTCTTTAACTTCTTCAGTGCGACATCACCTAAATTAACCCGCTGGCTGACGTTCTCCAGCTGATTTTTAACATCTTCAAGTTCATTACCCGATGACGAAACATTAGTTTTCAAATTTTCGGCCAGCCCCTCCAATTCATCAAGATCCTGCGATCTCACTGTGGTTTTGTCAATCAACGAGCGAACTTGGTCAAGTGATTCGAGCATTGCGTCAAACTGCTGACTGTAAACACCAGTTGTGCCGACTTTTTGGATTCTCGATGCTTCTTGGATCACCGCATTGGTTGTATTTTTCAATCCATCAAGTATCAAGTCCCAATTATCGAAACATTCGCCACACGGACTGCAATTGGGTGCTGTACCAATGTAACTACGGTCACATTGATCACATTTCTCGCCTCCTATACCTTTGTGGCAGACACAGTGACCAGTTTCACGGTCACATTGAGGACTTGATGATCCAATGTCATCACAGTCACATGGCTGACACTGGATATTCGGATTTCCCCAGTAGTTGGCTTGGCATTCATTACAACGCCGTCCACCAAAACCTGGTCGACATTCACAAGTCCCATCGAATGGATTACATCTAAAATGCAAATATTTTAATGAATAAGTAAATAAATCAATTAGTTTAAAAAAATATAGCAATTAAATATGTATTACTTGTCAGAAACACTTCCAACAGCATCACATTCACATGGATCACAGCCTTGACCACTCGCAATACGCCAATGATTTTCTTCACAAGTGTCACAAAGATTACCAACCACATGCGGTAAGCAAGGACATTGTCCAGTACGATGGTCACAGGGTCCAGCAGCGTGATCAAAAAAAAATATCATATGTTAAAAACTTGAAAAACTATAAGTGCAATTTTTTATAAATTTTTTTTTTGGTTGTAATTTAATTAAAAAAAAAAAAATCAAAAATTTTTAGACGTCTGCTAACTTCAGTGTCATCAATTCACTCGGAATTTCAATATCAATCTTTTATAATTGATTTTTTATAATAAATTTTAATTTTCACACCGCATTCAAATCTTTTATATAATTTTTGCCAAAAATTTTTTACTCTGTAATCCTCCTCTGTTAGTATTCATAAAAAAATTACTATTTAAGGGGGGAAATACGTGTAGAAGGCCGTTTTCATGCTGATTTTCATTAATTTTTTTAAGGTATAAAAAAATCAGGTTATCTTATACATATATTTATGAGTATTTTTTCATATTAAACAACAATATAAGTTAACAAATAGCGGAGATATCAACTGATACACATCGTAGGTTGTCATCCGACTTAGCAGTCTGTGTGCAGTATGGAAGTCACAATTTTTATTTGAAATCAATGGGACAAAAAATTACTTCATTTATATGTGTATCTTCCATATGAACCTCAATTAAAAAAAAAAAAGTGAAAATTCGCATTTTTTAGAGGACTGTGAAATTAAGTCGTGATATTTTACCACTTTTTCATACATTATTTATTAAAAAAAAAAAATAGTTTAAATAAAAATATCGCTTTCGATTGAGGTTCATAGTCAAGGTAATTGTATAAAGAAAATTATAAGCCATATCGCAAGATGATTGGTTTAAAACTCTTTGAGCTAGACTGCACACAGTTTTGAAAAAACTCGTTTCGAGAAAAACGCGTTTGAAAGAAAAATGACAGAAAAAGTTAATGTAAAATAGTATTAAAGTAATTATTAAATCGCTTATAGCTTTTGAACAAATAGGAATTTTTACTTAAAATTTTAAACCTATATTTTTGAATAGTTCTACAAGCAATTTATAAAAATAAAAAAAATTGAATTTTTTTAAGCCTGTACACGTATTTCCCCCCTTAAGTACCTAAATTTACTTATTAAATCTAAAAAAATTTTAATATTATAGAATAGCCGAGTTCAAATAGCAATTTTACCTGCAGATTCTTCTAGCACGTCCGCAAAAGGTGACAGCTTTTTTGGGAATTCCCTACGCACAGCCTCCAATCGGTCAGAGGCGATTCGCAGCCCCTGTGACGGACCCCATTGTCTCGTGGAGCGGTCCGCGTAATGCGACGCAATTTGCGCCGTCTTGTCATCAAGATCTTAAGCTGATAAAGCATCACGAGATGCTGTACAGAAAGTTGCTACCTTCTGATTGGGAAGATCCGGGTTACAGCGAAGATTGTCTTTATTTGAATCTTTTCATTCCTGATGGTTAGTTTATTCATTAATAATTATTTCGTATTAATTATAATTATTGCATCGAGTGAATAACTTTAAAAACAAAAACAGGTTATAGAACAGTTACTTGTTGACATTAAGGATAATTTTTTTGGCCCAAGTTCAGGGACGTAAATCATCTGATGAATTTTCAGAACAACTTAAGGATACTCAGGAGTAAATAATCTTAAATCATGGGATTGTACTGCATAATAGTGAACAAAAGCTTGCGTGATCAGAGCCAAAACGTAATAAAATCTACCGCGTTCCTTATTCATATGTAAACAGTATATAATAATATACTGAGACGAACGCGTGTAGTCATGACACAAGAGCTTTATTTTGTTCATACGACACTCTAAAATCTTATCGCAATATCTGACATTACATTAACTTGGATTGCATACAAAAGCTACCAGTACATTTCAAACACTCAATACAGTTACAGGTGAATATTCCCGACTAATAATAATAAACACAAAATTAATGCCACAGAAATATTCCAGTCATTTATGATGCTAATGACAATGACAATCTTACGTTTAAATGTTCCAACTATTTTATTCGATCCATTCCAACGATCTTAATCTCCATGTTAATTATTTACCTGATAATTATTGTCAGTTTAGTTCTCGGTAAAATATTTTGTCATTGAAAATTGTCTAGTTTTTCATGTTGAAAATGGTTAAAAAAAAAAAAAAAGCCTTCTTCTGGGTAGTAGAGCACACGCAAAGGAAGTTTACTTACGGTAGTGTGTTTTATCTACACACCCATGAAAATTGTCGCTAATCACACTCATGCAACTTGGAAAATAGCAAAAGTTTACGTCTCACGTCAACCTGGATTAAAAATTGAGATTAATTAGACTTATTATTTTTTAAATATTTAATTATTGGGTGGTACTAAATTTCAGGATGAGGAAAATATAAAAAAATTTTACCTTGAGTAATTGAAAATTTTGTTCGTGCATCTTGAGAATTTTATGATAAGTGTTATCGCTAGATTGTTATAAATTTTGATATATTTACATGATTACACAGAAAAAAAATTAACTTGAATCAAAAACATAATTTTGAAGAACTTTATCGTCTTGATTTGAAAAGAATCATTCATAAACTAAGAAATTTTTCTTGGATTAAGTAAATTTTACTTCACAAGAATTCTTCGTCTTGATCGAAGTTAATTTTTTTTTTCCAGTGCATTAGTTGATCCGTAATAAAATTGTGATTTCTATAGTAAAAAAAAAAAAATAATAATTTCAATTTAGAATAATAATAAATTTCAGTGTAATTACAAAAAAAAAAAAATAAACTTGATTCAGAAGAAAAAATCTTCTTCCAAGAACATCATTTTACGGAATTTGATCATCTTGAATCTAGCAGGAAAATTAGTGAATAAATTAAAATTCACTTGAACTGAAAAAAGTTTATTAACTCATGAAATTTTCTGCTTTAATGTTTTGGTTCAAGAGTTTTTATCTTAATAAAAATAATGATAACTTCTACTATCAGCATAATCATTGTAAAAATTAATAATAAGGAGGATAAATGATTTTTGATACGCAAAATTAAAAATAACACATAGTAACCATTATTTATAGAAAAATAAATAATGGCCAAAAGTGAATTCTTCAAATTTCATTCTAGTTAAACGGTATCATCCTTTGATTTAAATTATTTTTTTTATTAAAATTTTTTTAATTGAACATTTTCTTGAAGATCTTGATTTCATAATTCGAGCATATTAATAATAAAAGAACTTGCCAAAATATTGTAAAATTTTATGACAAAACATGTAAAATGCAAATTAACAAAAATATTTTCATTTTCTTTGAAATTCAAATCATAGACCTAATAGAAAAAGCTTTCATATATATATATATATATCATTAAAAATAAAAATGTTATAATTTACAATAAATAAAATAAAAAAAATCAAATAATATAAATGTAATCAGTTAAAATTAAGAAGTTTTTGATAATACTAAAATCTAACTTCTAACAGTCCAAATTGAAAAACGATTTGAAGATTTGAAGTTTTTTAGATGATTGAATTTAAAAAAGTAAAATTTGATAAAGAAGTAAAAGAAAAAAGTAAATAAGTATACGCAATTTGGTTAGTAATTGATGTTTGGATCCCTTAAAAGAGGGGTGTAAAGGGAGTGTATAGAGGGCTAGGTCGATAGCTGAATAGAATGGAAGTAACAGAGTATAACTGGTGCAGCCAGTGGCACGCGATCTTTTAGGGCTAGTAGCAAAAGATGTCGAGATACGACTGACTCGAGTCACGAAGCTTTTGGTCTTCTATTCCATTACTTTTATGTATACATATAAAGAGATACAGATATTTTTGTGTTGTGGGTTGCAGGGTTGTGTAATGCCCGAGGCACCCCTTAATACAGGTGAGCTTCACTTGCCACCGGAGGTTACTTATGTTTACCTTATATTTACCTAAGTAGCTTTGGGGATAGCTCGGAAGACCAGATCATTTGGCGCACCCTTTAGGGTCGAGCAAGATGAATTAATGAATTAATTGCACGAGGCTGCTTCAGAGGCTTTAAGCTTCAAGTTCTAATATAGAAGCTTGCGGCTCCACGCTGACAAATTGGTGAGAATACACACCTAGATGTTAGATTAGATGGTGCATTACCGATAAATCGTAATTTACAAATGAGTTCAAGGACGTAATAATAAAAATTAGTTAAGCTGTATATAAGTATACAAAGAAAATAATAACAGTGTTGATATGAAGGGATGATGCATTCGCGTGAAAAATAAATATTAGAATGAGGAAATTAGCGGCGTGAAAAGTTTTTGGATCGATTGACGGTGTTGATTGAATTGATTTACTGGTGGGGGTTACTTGATAGCTTCAGGAATATGTAATCACTTGTGAAGGCGACGAGTTACAACTTGTCAAGGGTGCTCGGTATGAGCTAACATTTTCTGATGTGTTGTTTGAGTTTGATAAGATGCGACAGATTATTCATGTAAGCATATTCTATACCTATGTGCATACCTATATGTACATGCTGATATGTATTAGTATTTTTTTTTTCCACTGTAGGGACCTTACGCCTGGAGACTTGGGTATTAATAATTTGTTGAACAAACTACGTACTCAGAAGATTGATTGATAAATTGAAATGAATTAATTTTTTTTAGCTTATAAATATTTATTATTAATTTTAATGTTGAAAAATTGATTTCGTTTTTTGGAACAACTTATTTTACTAATTAATTTTTGGAATTTAAATGCAATAAAAATTATAATTTTATTTATTAAAAGTTTAATTGAAATATTTTTATTTTATCAATGTGGCAATGTAAAAATTTTTTATGTAGATTTTATAGAAATTTAACTAATGCACTGAAAAAAAAATTAACTTGATTAAAGAGAAAAATTCTTGAACCAAGAATATAATTTTGAAGACGGTAATTGTCTTGAATCAAAATGAAAAATTCTTGAATCAAGTAAAATTTCCTTAAATCAAGAATATTAAGTTCTTCAAAATTATATACTTGATTCAAGAACATTTTTTTTTTCTGTGTGCATCTATTCTCATGATACAACTTTTGAAAAATTTTATTATTTTTCAACTTAGCTCGTCGAAAAATACGTTCGGTTCAAAAGTTCATACATATAGACACGATATAACGCGACTTTTCTCGACTATAGCGTCCACAATTTTTAACGAATCTTAATAAAACTCAGCATATTAATTCTGTGAACAATTTTCTAGGTCAAGGTGGAAGATGAGACAAATTGATTGAATAATTCACAAATTAAAGCAATTTAAATTTAAAAAAAATTTAAAAGTTATCAAACTTTGACTGGTTCCCATTAAAATAACTTCTGAAAAAGATGACAGCAAGCTTCAAATTTCATATTTACTTATACATATCTACAAAATTTTACTACTACATTCATTTTAACAGTTCTGTAAGTTTTTTGCAGCTTCAAAAAATGTATAAATGAAGTCGATAAGTAAATATCTACATTCATTATTTCAAGCTTGAAAAATTAAAAAAAAATAACAATTCCTACCTAATTTACTCTCTGATAAAACAACCACCGTTTTGATAATATTATGGTTTAGAATATTTAATAGGGTTATTATGTACTTATTGTTGCCTGCTTCCACATATTTATGTTCGAAGCTTTAATCGATAAATCAATTAATGGTATTTACCTTTTTTTTATCCTCATTATTGTAATTTTTTGTTCTTTTTTTTTCGTTATTATATTTTTAATTGTAGTACCGCTAAGACCGATAATAACTAACGCTTTAAATTCATTATTAGATAGATGTAATAAATAATTAAAAATAATATTTCAGAGACTAAGCAAAATTAAACTAATATACTAACTAAGAAATTTATTTATTTTATCTATTTCATCAAGCTTTAAAATAAAATATATCAAATTTTTTTGTTGCTTGTAAAAACTCATAGATATTTTTTTAGACAAATATTTATTATGATTTGATTAATAAACCACTGAATTTTTTAATTATTTTAAAGTACTTGATCTTAGTTTATAGAAGCAACACGTTTTATTTATTGACTGTAATTTTTCACTGATGTATTCCTTAAGACCTTAATTTTTATACCAGTATTTAAAACTCTTTATTGCGGTGAGTTATTTTACTGTTCATTTAATAAAATAAGGAATTGGCTACGTTTAATATTTTAAAAAAGTAAAGTAATTACAGTTTAAAAATACTTGACAATAAATTTCAGTGAGACATTATTTTATAGGTGGAAAAAAAAATATTTGTTACTTGTTTTTAAATATAAACTTCAAAATATATCTATCGATTAATCAACGACCTACATAAAAATACTAATAATATAAATATTTAATTATGTAGATCCACCACCGACGGAGGGGTGGCCAGTAATGGTGTGGTTCCACGGTGGTGACTTTAACACCGGGACCCCAGCAATGTGGGACGCAACAGTTTTTGTCAACAAACAAAAGGTCAGCTTCATGCATGCTACTTATATAACTTAAACAACATAATTAACACCCTCGGTAATCAGCAGCTTATTCCAAAAAATCTAAGATCTAAGATGCTGTTATTATGCCGTGACACAATTACTCCATTATTTTTATCATATTCGCGAATCCTACTATTATATACATATATATCCATTCTCGCGATATATAAGATATATATTTTTAGACAGGTAAAATAATATAAAAATCAATGTGTAGTTCAAGGTTACTGAATATATACATAAAACAAAATATCTGTGACAAAATATATTTGTCGCAGAGGTCGACAAAGCTAAAAATTTACTTGTTCTCTTTTTAGTCACTGATATGATTGATTTTTACTTTTTACTAAACTTTATTTCGTCTATGATTAAGAATTTTCCAAATAATTATTAATTCTTAGCAAAATTGTCATTTTTATTAGAATAATCATTAATTGATACAAAATATAAATAATAATAGTAATTTATCAAAAAAACATAACTATTTTTTTTTTTTAATCTAGAATCAATACAAAATATGAGAACAATTCTACCAAAAATGAATAATAGTTAAAAAATAATTATATATTTTTTTTTGCTTTATAGAAAAAAATAATTCAAATTAAAAAAATTATTTATTTTATGAAAGAAAATAACTCATTTGTATGAAAATTAGGAAATTTTTAAATGAAAATGTTTGAATTTATATTTTCACAAAATTTGTTTTAAAATTAATAATTTAATTCAATGATATTGGTAACATATCAATCGTTAGTGATATTGATAATAATTAGGGATTTTTTTTAAAATTTTTAATTAATAAAATTATGTGAATAATTTATCATTATGACAATAATTTAAATTTTAACTCATAAAAATTGATATTAGAAAAATAAAAAATCACCAACTCCGTCATGACATAATATTAAACTTGTTACAAATAAATTAAAAAATAAAACAAGTATTTTCGAAAAAATACATATTTGTCATAATTTTTGTCAACAGATTCTGGTAGTGACGGTGGCGTACCGTCTAAATATCTTCGGGTTTTTCACAACAACAACAGCCGAGGCACCAGGAAATTACGGTATGCTGGATCAAGTTGCCGCATTGGACTGGGTTCAGCAAAACATTCAGCACTTTAATGGCTCACACGATAATGTTGTGATAGCCGGGCACAATGCAGGCGCAATAAGTGTAGGCTTACATATCGTGAGTCCGTTAAGTAAAGGTAAATTTGCCAAAGCGATAACGATGAGCGGTGACCCAATAAGTACCGTAAGAACACCAGAGCTGGAAGCGCCGATAGCTGACCAAGTTGGAGAACGTTTTGCGTGTTTCATACGCAACAGGACCCGATTGATGGAGTGTCTTCGTCGTGTGCAAGCTTCTGTGCTTCTTAGAGAGACTGCGGACATCGAAACATGGGGTCCAATAATCGACATCACCACGACCAACTCAACGGATCCATTTCTGCCAATGTCACCGCGGGATATTTTAGAAACGGGCAATTTCAACGCGGTTCCACTGATGGCCGGCTTCACAAGCAACGAACAATCACTTGCTTACTTGGAGAGTCTAGAGAACCCCGGAGATGAGGGTAAGATGACGTTCAATAAGTTTGATAGCTTAATAAGAGACGAAATACTTGCCTTGATCAGCGGAACCGGAGACAACAGTTCAACTTGCGAGTCAAAGCCTCAAATGGTCGCCGATGCGGTTTTATTTTTTTACAAGCCGTACCCACAGACAGAAGACACCAGTGTGTACAGAGATCGTTACCTAGCGCTGCAGACGGATAAGAATTACGCAGCTAGTTTGACTTTATTGGCGTCACGTGTATCGAGGCAAAAGGAAACATTTGTTTATCGGTTTGACTACAGACCAATAACACAACTGGTAGTGCGTGATATCCCCGAATGGGCAGGTGTACCTCATATGTTTGAATTACCGTTTGTCTGGGGACTGCCTCACATGTTTGGCAGCTCAATAGTGTGGCGGAGTAGTGATAAAAATTTGGCTGATGTTATGATGAGGATGGTAGGTAAATTTATTCGCAGCGGAAACCCTACGCTCGATATTGTACAGTGGGACCCGTTTAATGAACAATCGCCTGGTATATTAACTATTAATAGGACTATCAGTAAGAGTGATGTCGAAGCTATCGATCATAGAATTTTGGCATTCTGGAACGACTACTACCCCAGCTTAATTCAAGAGACCATGAATTTTTGCTGCAATGCTACCAATGCCGCGGAGGGTACTCATTTTGAGAATAAATTTTATGAAATTGTAATTGGGACACTCATGTTGCTTTATATTTGATAATTGTGCATATAGATTTTAATTAGATGTATAATAAATGGAGATTAATTTTTATAAAAATAATTGTGGTGTAAATATTATTAATGTGGTGATATTTTTATAAAGCTTCTGTTGCTTTATGAACAGTTTAATAATTTGTTTTATTAATTGTGGAAATCAATATTAAAATTTATAAATAAATAATTATTGGCTCAAAAAAAAAAATGTCAAAAGTGAGCCTACTAATCAATTCAATTAATTCAAATTTAAACCCTAAAATTCAATGTTATTATACAGAATCGGACCATTAGAAATACGCAAAACTTTATTTTTTATGGAATAATAATAATTAATAAATAATCATTCCAGTCCATTATATCCAACAAAAATGCTCCACATATATTCATAATAAATTTTTATTTTTTTAAAACTAGTAAAATCTAAAACAATTGTATTTTACCAAATAGTTTTATAAACAAAAATTTTAAAAACTTTTAAAAATTAATAAAAATATTACACTGTTATAGATTTAAAAGGTTTATTAATTAATTAATAGTTAACAAAAATTAACATTTACTGAATTTTTATTATTTGCTTTCAAATACGGAGAGATATAGAAAAACATATATTGTTTAGGAAACAAACGATCGATAACTTATGAATATTTTGATGCTTTGTAATAATTAATAATAATAATTAATAATCATTGTATGTACCGTCCTATATATAATAATAATAATAATAATAATAATCGTAATAATAATTATAATTATATAAGAGAGAGATAGGTGTGCGGCGAATGCATAGGGGCTGGTGACCTGTGCACGCGCACATCATAAAAAAAAAAAATAACATATTCCTTTTCATTTATCTTTCTTTAAACTTAAATACATCGTATTAGATAATTAAAAAAAAAAAAATTTTTTTATGTAAAACTACAGTGATAACCATTGGTCACGGGGTCTCGTACTTGTTCTCATAACTTTTTAAAAACTTATTTTTAATCATTATCGTTATCATTTCTCATTCTATTTCCGTTATTTTTTGTGCGCTGTTGTCGCGCGTGCACATGAGCCACCCCGAGACAAACTTATATACAATTTTCCCCTTCGTCGTCAATATTGTTCTTGTTATTAACTACAACCGTATCTCATTTTTCATTCCTATCTGCTTTTATATTTTCTTTATTAACGAGCATTCCCCTTGATCTTAATTACTTAACTTGCTTTTATTTTAGTTTGTTATTATTATTTTTTCTTTTTATTTAACTTTATATTCAGCAACGTCCCGGATTTTTTATCTCCATTCATATTTCTTGCTCATACCCGATTGTAGTTCTTCTTAAAAATTTTTTAATCATTTTATTTATTTGCTTTTATTATTTTTTACTTTACTTTTTATTTTTATTTTTTTTTTTTTTTGTTATTTTTTATTATTTTACTCTGTGTGTCACGTTGGTTATACGTGGCTAAAAGCACGTTAACTTTACAGAAGTAGGCACAGCGATTTCTTTTTTTGTTTTATCTTTTTCTCCGGTGATTTTTTGTTTATTTGTCGCACAAGGTCATAAAAGATCTGTAACAATTAATTAAAAAATGTTAATTATCTTGGCCGTTGTTAAAAGACAATATTAAATGTTTTGTATATAAATAATTAGTTAATAAAAATATAGCTTACGTCATAAACATTAATTTTAGCTTTGGCAGAGGTCTCCATGAAGGCGCAGCTGAATTGCCGTGAAAGATTAACACCTTGGTCTTTACCCACTACCCTTTCGTCTTCCAAGTCGCACTTGTTACCAACCAGTACCATTGGCACGTCATCTGTATCTTTTACCCGTAATATTTGTTCCCGAAGATCTTGAAGATCATTAAACGTCGATTGTGCGGTTATTGAATAAACTAAAACAAATCCTTGTCCATTTTTCATATAAAGATCTCGCATGGCTGTGAATTGTTCCTGAAAAATAAATATTAACATCATTATTCATTGAGTACATAACAGCCTTTGATAACAAATTGCTAGCCATAAAATGAATAGATTACACTTTAAAACAAATTAATTAATGTTAAAACTTCAATCTTTTAGTTTAAAATTAATTAATTTTTATCTGATGTCACCCACAGAGATAAATTCACTTTTTATTTCAAAAACTATTTCATCCGAAAGTTTTTATTTATTATTTTGTGCTAAAATTTTTTTGATTCCATTAAAGATAATTTGTTAAAAAAAAAAAACATTGAATAAGTTATTGTGTGTATTTGAAAATAAATTAATTGAAAACTTTTCTGTTGATTATTACTGATGAATTTCACAACGAGTAGTCTGCAATACTAATTAATAATGGTTCAATAACATAATAATTAAATGAATAGAATTAATTTCAATTATTATTTTATTGAAAGATTAAATAACAGATAATTATGAAAATATTTCACATCATATTATCATAATTAATTTCTAATAAATAAAAACTCTCAGAAATAATTTTCTACTAACTATAGAAAATTTCTATAACTTTATTTTTTAAAATTGAACAACCCAGTTTATAGAGTTAATAAATATTTTTTTTTTTATATTTATAGCATAAATTTATTAAAAAAAAAAAAAAACAGTGAATGAATTACCGTGCCAGCTGTGTCGAGGATTTCCAGCATACATTGCTGACCATCAACTTCGACTTGTTTGCGATAACTGTCTTCAATGGTCGGGTCATACTTCTCAACGAATATTCCCTGAACAAACTGAACAGTGAGGGCTGATTTGCCGACACCTCCGCTTCCCAACACTACTATTTTATATTCACGCATTCTCTCCCTTTTTTTATCTCTTCTAACTAACTATTCTTGTCGTGTCACTGCCGCGGGGTCACCGAATCCGCCACGTCTTGTCTTCCTGTCGTCTCAGCAACCAGCTATACCTGCAATCAAACATACATATATTTATTAGTTATTTTGCTCTAAGATATCTTCATTTAAATTTTTATTATAAATTATATTTTTAATAAATCTATTGCAATTTTTAAAATAGTAATTAAAGAAGAAAACATTAAAGTCAAAACATCGTTTTCGAGTTTAGAATATCAATTTTCTAGATTAATTAAGAATAACGAAAAAAAAAAGCGTGAAACTCGTTCACACAGCAATATTTAATTAATAAAATATATTTTAATTATCGATGACTGATCGAAATTGAAATGTTCACTGCAATTCATAAATTAATGTAGACAATCAGAACATTTCTGATTAATTAAAAATATTTTGTTACTAAAAATAGACAGAGAAAAAAAAAAAGGGTAAAATTGTGGATTGAGATGAGAATAAAAATTCATCCAAGCGTAACAATGATTTCTCGTTACTTTGGCAATAAACTAGTATATCTATAGTGATGTCGAGTAAAAGGACAGAGATTGGTTTGAATACCAAGTTCCCGTACATTTATATCTATATATGTGTGCATCTACAGATATATGTGATATTCTATCGTAAGGATGCCTATTGTGAGATATTGAATACAAAGTTTGGAGAAGTTTCAAGTAAATTGCTGATAGGATTACGTATATAGAGTACTAGTAAGCTTTTCTTCATCCCTTCAAAACGTTAGTAAGTATTATATTATATTATATTCTAAGTATATCAATTAGTTAATTGCAAAATGTTTAGATTTAAAAGTGAATCCTGATAACGTATGAAGTCCACTCGAGTCCTTAAGGTTAAATATACAGTTATAATAGTCAGTGAATGAAATCTCAATATACATATTATGATCATGTGTATTTGTGAAGGTATGTAAAGGTTTAATTGTAAAGCAAGATGTGAATGAAAGCGAAACGCAGTCTAGCTATAACGTTAATTAGACCGCAAAGTTAATTTTTTTTTTTTTTACTTTTATACTTATTATGACTCGGTAAATATTTTTAGAGCATTTAGTACGTAGTTTTTTATTTTGGTATGCCATTCTTCTTGCTTTGAACAAATCGAGTGAAACACGAGCTCTCTTAATGTAATAATGAGTAACAGCGATGGAAAAATATAAAAACAATATTAAGCGTATATATATATATATGTATGTTTACGGTGTGCTTACTCACTGAAACTATAATTATATGCTTTAAGTGAATCATCGGAGTCACTACTAACCAGGGTACAGTTTTTTTATAACATAAATGTTACGTCATTGTGACTCAAAGACGAAAATATATTTTTTTTTTTAAGTTCGCACTGATATAAAAATTTATTAACTTTCGATAAATATATTTTTGAAAACTTTATTAACTGTTGAAAAATATTTATTAAATCATATAATATTAAAAATCATTTTTAACAATTGACAAGTTCTTCTATTAGTGCTACACGGAGAAAATTTTATAGTAGAGTTTATTATCTAGTTATGTTAAAATCTATTAACTGAATTCGATAGTAGTAAATATTATTTAAATAATTAAGTAAACCATCTGAATTGTAGTATTTACCATCCTGATGGTAACTACTACTATTATGATGGTAATCAGTAATAATAACTGGTATTATTTTAATTAGTTACTATTATTATCAAAATCGTAATTCCTAATATAACCTGATGGTTGTAGTTACCATCAGTAATAATTATAACTACTATCTAAGCTAGTAAAAAATATTAAAAAAATTAAGAATCTGCGTTACTGTGGATGTATTTCTGAATAAACTAAAGCAGCTGTAGTGCACAAAAAATCAGGATTAAATTCGGATTTAAATTATATTTAAATTTTTATTTGTCTAAAACAAGTTTCAGCGCCAAATTTTTCAAAAAAAATTTGAAATTTCCAAAAAAATCAAATTTTCAAAAAAAAATTTTGAAGGGAATTTAAAATATTTTAATATTTCAAAAAAAAAATATACATTAGCTAAAATATGGATCTAAATAGAGGATTTATATTATTTTTTCTTTCAGAATTTTAACAATCTGAGATGGTTACAGTTACCATCTTCGATTGTAACAGTTATAATTTATAATAATTACAATTACTATTTTTGATAGTAATTGTTACCATTATTAATAGTAACTATTACAATTATCAATGATACCACCTATTATTTTGTTACTAATTAATTTTATTACCATTTTAAATAGTAGAAGTTACTATTTTTGTATAGTAAGTAGTATAATTAATTTTTCTCCGTGTGGTTAAAATATTGCTAATTTTATATCTAATATTTTTTCTTTCAAAATTTTTACAATCTGAGATGGTTACAGTTACCATCTTCGATTGTAACAGTTATAATTTATAATAATTACAATGATTATTTTCGATAGTAATCGTTACCAATATTAATAGTAACTATTACAATTGTCAATGATACCACCTATTATTTAGTTACTAATTTATTTTATTACCATTTTAGATAGTAGGAGTTACTATTTTTGTATAGTAGGTAGTATAATTAATTTTTCTCCGTGTAGTTTAAAAATTTGAGTAGAAAAAATTACTTATACAGATTAAAATATTTTTTTTGAGAAATTTTTCCAAAATTACCAATTTTAATAGTATCAATTATTATTGACAGAGTATCTATTGAATTTTAAATTTTGTAAGAGCCTATTGAAACTCCTAATCTGATAGATGATTTTGTTTCACAGTTTAAAGTTATTAAAGATTTAAATAGCCCTTTCGATTACTGAACAACTTAGTGAAATCGTTCGATTATTTTTAAATGTTGCACAAAAAAATTATTCTCTCTATTCCAAATTGATACAAACGTTGTTCAGATTTTTTCACTGGTTAAATAGAGTTTCAATATCCGTAGTTAAAAAAGTAATTGAACAATACGATCCTGTTATTAAAAACTGTTTCTCCATGTCTATATCCGTTGATGGAATATTCAAAAAATTTTTATCAATAAATAACTGGAAACAAACTCAATCAAGTTATGAACTACACTTGGAAAAAAATTACTTAATTACCAAAATGAAATTTGTGAAATAATGAATAAAAGTTTTCGTACATTTTTCAAAAGATCCATAAAAGATATTTATAATTCAATATCAAAGAAGAAGTATTAAAAAATTGATTGAATCCTTGATTTAATATAATAATATACTTTTTCCGAGTGTTTGCCAGTAGAAAATTTATTGGATTAAGGTTATATTGAATCACGTTGAATCGAGTAGTGCTCTCAAGTTTAATCTATTCTGCTATCGATTCACGTACTAATTCTCAGTTGGACCTAAAAGCTTCAAATTGAGAGCTTGTTACAGCTCTTACACGATAGCTCTATGTCCACTCTCTTGTCTCAATTTTCTCTCTTCCTCTATCTCCGTTATCTATCCAGAGTTCTTACTCTCCTCTTTCTCTCTCTCTCTAGTTATCTATATACATATAATTCTCTGATGTAGTTGGCCTTTCCTCATATCGGTTTACTATATATATAGAAACTGAGCTATAGCCTATTATATATCTAACCACTTACACACTAATACACTTTCATAGCGTCCACTTTGAACTGTAAATACGTTATCTGCTTCAACAAGTGTCAATACACTTGATCACGCGAAAACCACTTCTATTAATTTATTTTCCCTTGTTCCTTCATTCCTTATTCCTTTTGATCTTGCATATTTTTATCAGCACATTCTGTAGTACCACCCAATAATTAATATTACCAAAGAGTTAAGTTTCGACTAACTAGACAAGTGTTTACATAATACCTTTACTAATAAAATCAATGAAATTGTTAATTATTATTTTTAAGCACGACTTTGTTTTTTACAATATCAGAAAACTATTAGACATGTAAATTTCATTACCGTAAAAAAAATAAATTTTCATGAAAAAAATAAGCATTAAAGTTAAAAATTTATCAACATAAAAAATTAATAATTTACTTATCATTATCACTATAATTATATTAGTTGTAAACTAACTCTATAAACATCCGTACAAAAAAAAAGTTTTGTTCTATGATGAATTTCATCCATTAATTCATATTTTAAAATAATTATAAGAAATTAAAATTTTGGTTTATGACGAATTATTAATTATAAACTCGAATTTGTTCAAAATTATGAAAATACAAAGATAAAATTCATACGATAACATTTTTTTGTACTGGAAATTAAATCATTTTTAGACAGCTCTTTTTTTGTTATTTTTTATGATATCGAATGTATTTTCATTAAAAAAAAAAAGACTAGCCGAACCGTGTGAATATTTCGCACAATATCGTGATAAAATAACGAAAGTTCTTATTATAATAGGCAAATAAGACGGATTTCATTATTATTGTTAAAAATAAAATATCTTTCATTAATAAATATTTGCATTCAGTCATTTTCATGTCATAATATATAGGGGAGCCTGGGGCACGACGGCCCCCTTAAGCAAATTTTTTTATTTTGTGGCTTTTAACCATCAAATTCATTTATTTTCCATCTATTTCAAACGAATCAGTCGACATTTTGCAAAAAATCGAAAAAAAAA